TACGGGCTGGGAAATCCATAGCCCGTGGCCCGCCCGCATTAGCCCGCGGGCCAAATTGGCCCGCCCGCGGGTTTTATTTTTTTATTTATTTATTTTTTTTTATGGTATTCTCACTCTTATATTTTTTGATTTGTTTATCCTTATATTTACTAGTATATTAATAAACTAGTAAGGTTTCATATGTAATAATGTTAAATATTTGTCATCTAGTTTTTATTTTTATTTTTTTAATCAAGTTATAAGGTATTCACGTGCAGGAACGACTTAATTGACATAAAATATTATTTGATTTATTAATATTTTTATTATGTAAAAAAAAAGTTTCATGTGCAAGTTAGAAATTAGAAGTAAAATAAAATACTAAATTTAAATAATATAAAATTAAAAAAAAAAAGGGCAGCCCGCCTTAGCCCGCGGGCCAAATAGGCCCGCGATTGAACGGGCTGGCCAAGCAAAGGGCCAAGCCCGTCCGTTTAAGCGGGCGGACGGGCCAGCCCACGGGCCACCGGCCCGTTTGACAGTGCTACCCGATATGGAAAGAAGGTACTCATAGGTTAGGGAACATGCAATCAAATAATCGTCACTCGCGATCAATTAATCGATCTCTCAATCAATTCTTACTCGCGGAATCAATAACAAAATCACATAATCCCTAGTCTACGAGGATGAATGCATATTCTACTCATGAAAGCTCCTACGTACCTTTACCCTAGAAAGATCCAACAAACAAAGGCAAGGCACGTGCACTCTCGACGTCGCTTCTGTTTCTGCGAGTGCGCGGCTTGGCTGCGCAGGTGTGCGGGCATAGGCACGTGCACTCTCGACCCCGCGGGTGAGTCCGCGTGCACACGGGTTGATACGGAAGTGGTCATCAACTCAGGCGAGTCGGAGGATGAAAGAGGCGATGATCTCAACGTATGGTTGGAGAACATGCTAGAGGAGCCTACAAGTCCGATATATCGGCCATCATGTGTACGAGATTGGCCAAAAGGATGTGGTCTGAAGTTAAAGGCGAAGGCTCGGAAACGAAAGACCAAGCAAGCCCGAAGGAAACACAAGGCAAAGGCTAAGGAAGGGAAGTGTTGGTGCAAGCCTTGTGCAAGAAAGAGAAGAGCTTGGAAGATGGAGGCTAAAAGGCGTGGTAGGCAGAGAATGGAGGATGGTTGGATATGGCGAGTTGGTGATTGCAATGATGGTAAGTGTGTTGAAGGTTGGGACCCGTGGGATGAGCCAAGGTCATCGGGCGAGCAGCCGGGGTCGATTGGCGACGAGGGTGCGAGCACGAGCAAGGAACGCGCATCATGCCTTGGTGCGCGCAAATGGTCGAACGAGCAAGAC